TATATTTATATTTATTATTTGCATTATTTATTTATTTATTATTTGCATTATTGTTTTTAAGATTTTTGAGAGATGCCAAGAAGGCATTATATTATTTAATTTTCATATTGCTAACCTAAGAGAGGCAGCATTTATATTTATTTTTATTATATTTGTATTTGCATTTTTATATAGCTATCATTGACTAGTACTTTGGGAAAGCTTTGATAGTTATCGTATTTATTTTGTTAAGTTTCTTGTTAAAAGTTATATTCAACTCCTATTATTTTAATATTTAATATTTAAATTATAAGTTTTGATAGTTCAGTAGTCTAATCTTTCAATTGAACACAATTACTATTGTCATTTTGAAATACTTTCATATGCAAAAGCTCAAAATGGTAACAATGTAAAATATTTAATAAAAATAGAATTTACTTAATTAACTACTGACATTTTATATTAAGTTAATATTTTATCTAATATTATATATTTATTAATTAAATAAAATTTTTGTTATAGTAAAAAAATATATCAAAAAAATAAATATTATTATTGATAAAACTTAATAAAAATATTAAAAAGTTTATAATAAACTAATATATGAAAAAAAATATTATATTGTAATCTAAAATAAAAACAAGAAAAATTAATGCATTTTATATAAAAATACTAGCAATAATATTCTTTGTAAAATTCAGATTAAACCAGATAGAAAAGTATTATCTTTCAAAATAGTATAGACTTTAATATTATCATTGGTCTGTGATCTTTGCTGATAAAGATATTTATAAAATAGATAATAGTGATTGTATTTATACAAAAGTATAAAATATAAGTTTTTCTAAAATACAAGTTCCAATATCAAGTGACAAAGATTATATTTATAATTTTTACAAGTAAAACTTTTAATAAGTATTAATAATAATTCAATATGTAATAAATTATTATAACTAAGGATGCTTGTCTAAACTCTTTCAAAAAAATATTATTATAATTTTGATGGATTATACACTAATTATTAATTAGAATTTTGATATAATTTCAGTTATGACAGATTTTAAAATTTGTCAGAATTTTGACAGGCTATTTACTAATAATTTATTATAATTTTGATGATTATTAAGAGATTTCAGCAAGCAAACTTAATTATAATAAGAAAGATAAAAAATTAATAAGAACAAAATAATTAAAATAATCAGCAATCTGATATATTCTTTATTATTATCAAGATTAAAGATAAATTACAAGATATCTGATTTTTTATGTTAGATTATATTTATTTAAATATATATTAAAGTAATACAAATCTATATAATTTGTAACAATATAAAGAACTAATAAAATAATAAAGTTATAATATATATAATATTAAGAAATAATAAATATAATACAAATTAATTTAAGTATCACAAATAAAATTAGTAAAATATTAAATAAATTAGATGAATTAATAATTAAAGATAAATTAATAATCAAAATTAAATAGATTAATAATTAAAAATCAAGAACTAATAAAATATAATAACTAATTATTAATAAAAATTATACAATAAATAAATAAAGTAATTGATAATTTATAATATCACTACAGTGGGAGACACCATAAGCCATCAACTTTTTAGTATCTTTCCAAAAAAGGTTATAACTCGAACAGTAGTGGTGATACAAAAAAAACTCTGCTGTAAATGATTATTTGGAAGTCGAGCTACAATTTGCAACAGCCAGATTTTTGAATTTTTTTTTGAACACGAGTTATAAGCTTTTAAAATTTGTCTAGTTTTATATGATCATGTGAAATTTTGCCATGAACATCAATCAGTATAACTTGTTTAATTGTGCCATTTAGATATTAATATATCATTATTTTTTCTTTTTTACGTGATTTTTTAATTATACATTATATGCATAAAATTTTTTTGGCTTATATTATTTTACTTATTTTTTTTTCGTTGTTATTAATATCATTTTTGATTTTTTTGACTTATTATTTTTCTTTTTTTTGGTTTGGTTGTTATCATTATTATTTGAAAAGTTATACGTCATTTCTTTTTTTATATTAAATTACTAACTTTATGCCAAGATTATCAAAAAATAACAAAGCTCATCATGTAAATTTGCAAAAAGCAAATACAATTCACCACACCATTTCAGCACAGATTGAAATCATTGATCTTTCCTCTTCTTTGGAAGAAGAATTAGAAAAAGATGATAAATTTGATGGTGAGTTAATAGATGAGTTTGTTAGTTTCAGAGCTAATGATCTGGATGAAGAAAATACTGCACTAAAAATTTTTAAGCAGCTTTTTAATACAAAGAACCAAGAAGATTGTGGTCATTCAGTTTTTTATACTGGTCTTGCTCCACGAACAAAATGATTAAAAAAGCAATATCTACGTGAAGCTGCCATTGGTACATCTCACATTTTCCAATTTTTTTCTATACAAAATGAACCATCCAACCAACACAACCAGCAGCATGAAAATAAAATTTTTTCTGTGCAAAGTGAGGACGAGAAAAAAAAGCAAATCCATCATACCATCAAGTTTGTTGAGAAAGCTCTATGCGAGAATATTTCAAACAGTCAAAAAATACATTATTTATCAGTTATTCTTTATCTTCAGCTTTTGCTTTCAGGCAAGAAAAAATGGATGCAAGTTTAACCATTGCTAAGATGCATGAACAGGAAGAATATTGTGCTCACTGTATTCGCACATGGATCAAAATCTATTTTGAAGATAAATTTTTAAATATTTTTTATAATTTTTTTTAGTGACATAATATTAATTTTGTGTATAGGAAATCTTATTTCTCCTACCTGCCATGGAAGATTCCCTTCAAAAAGTTTACTTCATAATGAGCTTGTTTTTCTTCAGATTTCATTCTTTCTCCATTCTAAAAAATTTCAAGTTAATCCTACAATGGTCAAAAAATACTTTGAGGAACAAATTCTTCCAGATTTATGTGTTGAAACACCACATACAATTTCAGTTCGAACTGCAAGACGCTGGATGCACAAAATGGGATTTAGACATAATCAATATCGAAAAGGAATTTATATTGATGGACACAATTGTGAGAATATTGTTGTATATCAGGAAATATTTTTTGAGACATTTTTTAAATACGAGTATTTATGTCTCAATAATATGACAAGGCATACAGAGTGAGAATATATCTAACTTTGGAACCAGGAGAAAAAGAACATGTATGGATTACACATGATAAATTTACGTTTTTTACTTATAATAATCTACGCGAAGTTTGGGATCCAGAAGGAAAATATGAATTACGCAAAAAAAGACAAGGTCAAGGAATTCATGTTTCAGATTTTTTAACTGAAACTATTGGATCATTAAAAGATGATTGGGATTTAGCAAGAGTTATTATGATATTGGATGCAAATCGAGATGGATATTAGAATGGAGAAAAATTAGTTATTCAATTATGTTGGACTATTGACATTTTTGAAAGGACACATCCAAATTGTATAGGAATTTGGACCTTTGATAATGCAACTTCACATATAGCTTTTGCAGCTGATGCTCTTGTTGCAAGTCGAATAAATAAGGGACCAGGAGGAATAGCACCAAAAATGCATGATACAATATGGAATGGACAACAACAATCAATGAATATTGAACAAGATTTTTTTATTACAAACAAGAAAACGAAACAAAAAATTAATCTTCGTGACCAACCCAAAGGAATTGAATGGATTTTAAAGGAAAGAAATATTTGACAAGACAACATGATACTTGATTGTCAGGCTTGTCAAAGAAAAAATCCTGATTCTAATATTATTGTATAATGACCTTTCATCATAATATTTTATTGGATTATAAATATCTCATATATTATTGGATAAAGATTATATCAC